TTTAAAATCAAGAGCCATTAAAAGTTTGACTCCACATAAATTGATTTTGGTTTGAAAACTTTCAGGTCCAGAAAGTTTGAACAACTAATAAGGCTGCAAAGAAATTAAGTTTTAAGATTTTTGAGTGCTTTGATGAAATAATATTGAGCTTAATTTTGCTTAAATTTGACAAAGAGGTTGTATAATTTTGGGCTTAACACTGACACTTGGGGGACATCGGCTTTGGATGTGTCAGGCCTGGAAGTCGCGTTGTTGATCTTAGCTGTTGTGTCAGTAAGAAAGTTGAATATCCAGCACACAATAGGGATAGGTATGGACTATTGATTAGTCGATAGTGAAGTCCATTGTGTTATACGAAATCAAAGGCTTTTGGAATGTCTAGAAAGGTAGGTATGGTTGTATGCTTTCTGTTGAATAAATGGTTTGGGTAAGTTTAACGAGGTGGTCAATGGTTAGTCTACGTTTTTGCCTAAATTCTGTATGTTGTTAATAATGTTGTTGGTTTCTAGGTAACCGTTTAACCGGTTCATGATTTTCTCCATCAACTTACCATGGGTGTTTAGCAAGTTAATGGGTCTGTAGCTGCCAGGATTAGTTATTATTTTTCTTGGGGATTACCTTAATAATAGCTGATTTCCAAATAGATGGGTAATACCCCGATAATAATGATAAATTGTTACTAAATGGGTTATGATTTCGTTGGATAGGTTTGCAGGATTCAATTGTTAATTCCATCCTCTCCTGGGGCTTTGCATTTTATTTTCCTAAGGTTAATTGTGATTTCTACTTAAGTTCTAGGGTAGGTATACAAATTGTTAGAACCAGAAATTCGTGATATAGAAACTGGGAAGTTCAGTGAAAAAAAAAGTGTTGATTATTAAAAATGTGTTGATTTACATTGTTAAAATGTTGTGTGTCAAACTAGGTGAGATTTGAGGTTATGAAGGTACTTTCAAAATATTGGGCAAAAAGCTCAGACTGTTTACTATCAGTAGTGGCAGTGTTGTTATTATATTGAACTTTATTTATGGTGTTGTTTGATTTGTTGTTCATGATAGATTTAAATTTCCACCAGAATTTGAAAGGGTTGGGTTTGAACTTATCTAATGATAGGCAGAATATTATCCAGTTATCATATTGTTGCTGTAATATAAGTTTCTTGGCATTAATGAGTGTAATGCCATGGGTTTGTATAAGGTCGTGTCCGAGTCAACTGCGAGTAATTATTAATTCATGAACTTTGGGAGTAAGTTTCCAGGATCATAGGTCAGGATTTGTTACTTTGTTGGCATTATCGATTTCAGTTTGGTTGTTTAATGGTTAGGCTGTTTAGGACTCTGTTACTTGTGAAATTGACACGTACAGATGTTAGCATGCTCTGCACTGAGCACCTGGGAAACATTCTAAATAGTAATCATGAATGAAAGAGGAAATACACCTGTGGAAGGAAATGTTACTGCCTTATGGATGATGTGCTAGGATGCATTAGAAGTGCTTTATACAGAGTAGGAGTTTTATGTATAAAACTTGAAATCTAGTCTCACCTGGTATGGCCTTGCAATAACTGGATTAGGATGTTTGCAAGTCATTTTATGTGTAAAAACTTAACATTTGTATTACGTAAGCAGTTATTAAAAGCTTAAGTTGCATGATGGGAGAAAATGGCTGTAGAATCCAAAGATTAGATCTGTTATTTCTGGTAAGAGTGTTGGTCTTTCAGTGTCAAAAAATTCATTTTTTGGCCTTTACTGATACAATATATATTTTTTTGGTTTATATTTTTAGAGACATGTTTTCACTAAAAAAATTAAAAACTCCAAAATAAATTGAATTTCCATACATTTTGTGCTGTGGCCCAATTCAAGTTACCTTAAATGCTTACCTGAAAAATAGGGCTAGATACCCAGCTATGATTGACCAATGATGAGGTGGTATTCTGAAGAGTATTAGTGGCCTTTAAGCAAAAGGTGTATTAATTGGTACGGCAGCAGATTTTCAATTTGATATGAAACACATGAGTGGAACAATTGTGTGCTGTTCATGCTAATAGACTATTAATAGCATTTTCAGATCCACATGATCTTCTCAATGTATCTTACAGCCATCGTCCTCATCATAGTGTAATCAGTTATTATCCCACTCGCCCCTGTAATGAGTTTTCCTCTTTTTCCTTTTCATACTCACTGTCTCGTTTCCTTTTTTCCTCTTACATTTGTTTTTGGATCATCAACATTTGGGTTTCTTCATTTAAGAAAATGTTTAACTTTTGGCAATTTTTGAGTGATTTGGGCAACTTTTATGCTGTGTTCTCCATGACTGTAACTGAATATTTTTTGGTAACACTGGTCTGTCATGGGTAGACTCTTAATCATAAGTACAAAGTTCTTTTGCAACAACAAGTGGTGATATTTACAAAATGTAGATGATCAAAAAATAAATTATTATTTATTTTGATCAGTAAAGGACACTAACTTAAGTTTAACTCATCACCACCTAAGCCATTTCAGAACTACTTGCATGTTTTCCATATGTCGCTAATTTTAGGATTTTGCTTACTACAAATTCAAATTCATGAATGACCAGTTAACAGCTGTTTCAGGATATGAAATAACTGATTGCTATAAAGTTAGTGATAATGTAAATTGTATATTTTTCCATCCTTCCATTTTGTTGACAAATATGTGTCAGCTAGATGGTAATAGGTTATATGGGAACAAGAATAGATTACACTGACAGTGATGCAAAGATTATTTTTCATTATTTATTTTGATTAGGAGAGGACACTACTTTAAAGGGGAACAAATTAATAAATTACCCTGGCAGTGATGCATGGATTTTCTTTCATTATTTAATTTGATTATTAAAGGACACTTCTTTAAAGGGGAATAAAATATTATGGTTATACCATGGTTTAGAGAGAAATTAAATATTATATAGGAAATAAAAATCATTTAACTGGTTATAAAAAATAAATTGGTTTCATTTGTTTTTTTTTCATGAAGTATGAGTTCACAACAAAATAAATTGATATGTTGATAATTCACTGATTTTTTCTGATAACCTCCACTATAGAGTACATTTTACAATGAGCTATAGGATTGACCCCTAAAACTGCTTGTGGGCCCCGAAAAATGCATGTTTTGGGGATCCAGCTGTCTCCCTAGAAAAAAAAAAGTTAAGTGTGAGCCCTTAACATATTGATCTGTGTTCTGCTTGGTGGGCACTCATGCCATGTTATATTTTGTGAGAAAGTGTTTGGGTGAAACATGAGGATGTTTTTTCTGTTTTGTGGGCACCCATGCCTCTGTTATAATAAATTATATTTTGTGAGAAAGTCTGTTTTAGTGGAAGGATGTGGGTATGATACATTCCAAAACATGTCTGTGATGGGGTAGAATAGAAAAAATAAAGAAGTTTCAGCTTATTCCCAAGCATGTCTGTGATAGTGTGAAGTTGTTATGGATATCTCAATGTTTTCTCCTCTGAAATGTAAGAAGTACAGTAAGTCCCAAACATGATGTTGGGTACTGTCTGGGTGCAATCATTTTCTTGGTCAGAAGGATTAGTCCACAAACAGGGTAGGGTAAAACAGGAATATGAGAAAGTAGTGTGGAAGTTACAGAATAAGTGAGATCATGAAAGAATAGCTTGGTATCAAGTGCTTAAACAACCTGACTTTATGTGTTCACATAAAAGGGTTTTTTGGAAGTTTCAAAATCTTGATATAGGGTATTTTTGTTTATCAGCTTGGAATAATTAAATTGTGTGTGTGTGGTTTTAATAAATTATTTTATTTTACATTAAAAATTACACGTGAGCCTTGGCCTTGTAGATGACACCACAAACAGATATATTATGTTCACAGCAAAATACCAACTATTCAGCATATGGCAAGAGGGATATAAAAAGTATTTCTGAAGAGAAGTGCTTGTACAGTGAGATTCTTAAACAATGTAGAGCCAAAGTACATACATAACATTTTGAAGTAGAAGTCTTCATAATTCTACCATGAAAAAAAAGGCTCCAAAACCACATTCCAAGCTAATCTGGAGTAATGCTCTCATCTATAAAGTGAAGGCCATGATCATAAAAGAGAACCCTCTGATATAAAAAGTCTTTACAGTGAAACTGGGCACATTTTCTGGTACCATTAATAAGAAAGTCAACAAGTATTTGAAGTTAGCAAAGGCTCATAATCCAAAACTTCACAAGATTTCCGGCTGCATCTCCCAGTTAATAGCTGTTTATGTGTGTGTGTGTGTGTGTGTGTGTGTGTGAGAGAGAGAGATCTGCAAATATAGAATCACAGCAATCCTAATTTATTATCTACTTGTAAAGTTCCCCAGTGGATATTTAGAATTTCAGTCAGCTTTAAAATGATATTGAAAACTAATATCTAAGTACAGTGGAAAGTTTCTTAAGCATCAGACAGTAGTGTGCAATCATAGCCATCAAACTTGAGCATGACTGAATATGGAGAAAGCAGTTCTAAGAGCAGCATGAGACCTGGAACATCGTTCTAATATTATGAGATAAAGCTTGATGTACATAAGCCAACACACAACATATCATACAGAGTGTTTTCAAGTGGTTATATGGTTTAAGATATAATAAAGAAGCTTAAGACAGACTAAAGGCAAGTTTGATATGAAAGTGGCCTTGATATTTAAGTTATAGTGCCTAATATATAAAAACAAACAACAACAACAACAACAACAAAAAAAATAAATAAAAGGGGCTAAAAGCTTTCAAAATTTTACATAATTTTTATTTAATCAGTTAGTCCACTAAAGCAAATCAAACTACATTATACATCTTAATATTTATTGCTTAAGAGCACAGACCTGTATGTTTATAAATATGTGTCTTAAAAGTAGGAACCAGCTTAAGTTTATAAACATACTCACACATTCTTTTGATAATATTCGTTTTTGTTTCCTAAATTTGATGTTGTTTGATGATGGTATGTTTTCCCTAATAACATTCTGGTTTGCTTATAGTTACAGTGAAGCCAAGTACAGGTCTGCCATATAGTATTGAATACCAAGTTCAGGACCCAGAAAGCCTATTGTATGACAAGCCAATGACACCTAGAAAAGTTAAGAGACACTCAACACGTTCCAAAAAAGGTCGTTATCAGCCAGGTTATAACCAGAATCCAATTCGAAGTATACTTGACAGACCTCTGGATACATCAAGCAATGACAGTTATGGTGTTTTTTATAGTGGTCAGCCAAATCCTGCCTACACTAAAAGTGGATCCCGACCTAGTTCTGAAGGATACCTCCTCCGTCCGGAGTCTTTCTTACCTAATGGTAGGCCAAGACATAGCTACCCAAACCAGTCAGAAACTAATATATGAGTAATAGCTTTTTTAGGTACATTGAAATGTTTAAGCAGTATATTTTACCAAAGGAGAATTTTAACATTTTTATAGTTCACATAATTTTCAGATGAATGTATTTTCATCCTTTTTTCAATATGATCTTGATCCATTGAATTTCAAGTGCATAGAGGGTTTCACATTTTAACATTACCATGAAAATCATATCATAAGCAGTTATATGCAAATGTAATTTAACGTTTATTGATAGTTATATGATCAAAGAGTAAAAGAATGGAATTTTGTGTAATTTCACTATTTGATGCTTTGGTCAAACATTACTTTGAAAAAAACTGGTTCAAAATGTTTACTATTATGATGTACACTATAATGTTTTGAGAAATGTTTTGTATGTATGTCAAAATAATGTATAACTTTTAAGGGAATGTTATAATGGAGAGTTTTAAAATATGTTCAGGTTTGTCTTTCCTTTGGCATGTCATGAATGACAGGTGAAATAAGTTGGTGAGGTTTATGAACATAGGATTTGGTAAGATAAGAATGGGCTGTGTTTAATGAACTATAAGAAATGGTCTCTCTAAAAGTATGTTAGTATACTAGCAGTATTAAATAAAATATGTGAAGAGACCTTAGATTTGTAACAGTTCTATAATGCCCTTTGAAACCAAATCAAAATATTAGGTGCCAAGTTCTACCAGAAGAATGTTTAAATTTAAATGTAGATGTAACAGATAATTTGTATTTTATGTGGTTTTTATGTGCCATGCATAGACTTGTACTTTGTAAAAAGTTATTAAATGGAAATGCTGTAAGGGATTTGGAATAGACAAGATCCAGATGCTGTTCTGCCATATCTTGAAGTTTTGTCAATGAAAAAAAAAAAAACATTCTGTGGCTGAAGATGTGTTGCCATATGTTCATAGTTGTTGTTTAAGTAAATCTGTAGTAGTTTTTTTCTTACCTTTGAGTTTGTGTATGAAGGATAAGATATAAAATGGAAAAACAAAATGTGTCAAAATTAAGATAATTTTTATGAGATTTTTGGAATAAGTTAATAGTAATAATATACCAGTAAAGTTCCCAACTATGCCTTTACCTACATAAACTTTTTTTTGTGAGAAATTTCAATTAAACTACAATTTTTAATTAAAGTCACTCACAATTGATATCTTAGAAACGTTTTCCAGTTAGGAATAAAAACTATATTAAAACTACAGATGCTAAAATTCAAAAATGGAGGGTTTAGAATATGAATCATGTTTACATATTTAATAGCCATTAAGATCCCTTCCTTACATCAAGACAATCTACCATAATCAACTATAAATATGCAATAGTTTATTTAGTCTTAAGTTAACAGATTTGAAATGTGTATAATATTGCTCATATTTAAATCAAAAGGTTCAGTAAGCCATAGAAAATGTTTTCGAACATCCCAAATGGTTATTAGTTTTACCAGTCAGCTATTTGGACATACACTTGGATTGAATAATGTAGTTTGAATTAAAATCTCAATAACTAACTTTACATTTATTGGATATATGTATAGATAGATAGACATAAACTAGATGTATTGACTACGCCATTCTACAAAATATGGCTTATAATTAATTGTAATATACCTTTACTCAAAATTTTTAGAAATATTAGCGATAATTCTCTCCCATAAATTAAGTTAAAGAAAAAAGTATTAAAATTATTAATACTGCTTAGAATATATTGTATACATACTTTGACTTTTTCATCTGATATATGGGTTTTGAAATACAATATTTTGAAAAGCAGTTTAATATTAACAGTGTGTTTAATATACAAATTATACAGTCAAACCAAACATTATATAAACTAGTAACAAGTCTATATCACACAAAGCATATCAGTGTATAAGACAGAATGTTTTTAAAATTCTAGAGTGGGGCTAGAGACTATACATTAATTTTTAATGTATCTATTACTTGTCAGTGTATATGCATGCACAGTAGTTTGAATAACATTGAAGAATTTTGCTTAAAATTTGTGGAATTGAAAGCTTATAAGTACTCATAATGATTAGGATTTTAGCTCAAAACCACCTGGTAAGTAATATAGGTAGCTGATGGAGAGTTTTAAAAGTTCAACTTGATGGTAACAATTCTTAAACACTGAAGTGTGTTTCAGTAACTAAGTTTTCCATTTAATATGCTAAAACCTTGGAACTTTTCTTGCTGAGATTTGGTTTGGCAATTGGAAATCATGTTATCAGAAAATTTGCTCAGTGAGTTTGCTTCTCACTCTTATCATATATTAAAAAATGTTTAATGTATTGTTTACTGAAGTTTGTCTCTTGTTAGGTTCTATGAGATCTTATGTCTGTATTAGTACTTTTTATTAAATGAGGTTTGTTTGCATAACTCTTGAGTGTTGTAAGTAAAATTTATCATTCTAGGTTGTTTAGTGAGATTTGTGGTCTGATTCATAGAAGTTTTTCATATTAACCGCTAACATTAGTTCACTAATTTTATTCTATTACTCCAAGGTAGTTCAATGAAACTTAGTTTGTATCAATGTTTCTGGGAATTTTCTATCTCACTTGATATGCAATAAGGATTTTCTTTGTTTCGTGATATCTGGCTTATTGAGGTTTTTGTGTGTATCTTATAAACGTGTTGCCTAGTGGTGTTAATTGTATGTATTGCTTGTAATTTATATGGTAACAGATCACTAACATGCATATTTATTCATCATATAAGATAAGGCACAACATATTTACTTTCCCTATTATACTTTTTATCTAGCGAGATCCGTTTTATGATTATCTTTCAAGTTTACAGTTTCTGTGGTAAACTACACATATTAACATGTTGTTAAAAAGCCCAACAACTCACTGCCAAGTTGTAAGAAGATACACTTTTATAAATTGCAGTATTTATTATAGAATTTCTTAAAAAAAAAATTAATATTGCCTGTTTAAAATATTTTTTGAGAAATTCTGGATAGCATGTGTGTTAACTTGCAAATATACCATAAATAAAGAAATGAATAAATATAAATTACTCAGATAAAACACCCAGTACTCTTGAAAGGTTTGAATAATGTTGGAAGTTTGATGAATAATTTAAAAACATGAGAATTAATGTTAAATATATATATTTTGAGATTTGTAACATATTTTGACACATGTCTTCCACATCAGTTATTATGCTAAAACACAGATGGTCAAGAAAGAGAAAAACTGTACAAGATTTGGAAAAGGATTTTTAAAAATACAGCTATTTTTGTAACATGCAAGCATACTTTATTAGTATTGTTGATATTACTCTAATGTTTAGAGTAGAAATTGTGTGTGTAGCAGCTGGTTTTACTTTTTGGTCAGTTTTAGTGTGGGAAGTTTATTCATTCAAAATTTTTCTTTTAAAATGTGCATAAGAATTTTATCAGTGTGTAAAAACTAATATGTCATATTTTTGAATGTACATAATTGTTTTTCTCATGCATATTAAGTTGTTATAGAAAGACTGGTAGTCTTATAAAGAAAGATTATGGAAGAGCTATGTGCTCACTATTTATTAAGGAATTCTATATAAAACAAAGATAAAGGTAATTTTACTATTGTAGTTGATGTATACTTTTATGAAATGAGACTTTAATGTAAACCAAATTGATTAATAATTTCACTCATGCCAATGTGTTAGCTTCTGGTTTGTGAGCATTTATGAGTATGTATTTTCCCCTGTATGCATATTTTCTAGTGTTATTTACTTTTTAATGACTATCATTCACTTGAATAGTTATATTTTTCAACACCTTGTTATGAACATATCTAAACAAAAGCTAGAAGATAATAAGTACTAGATAATTATTGATCCAGGATCATTCTCAAGATCATATTCTTTTGTATATGTATGTATATCCAGTTTTTGAAAAACTGAAGAGTCATTTAATGCCCTTTAACTTTATATTTTAAAGACAAACACTCTTAGGACAGTAAATAATGTTCATGAGATAATTTTGTACCTTTATTCCTACTGCATTCTTTATGACTGTTGTTACACAGATATATTCCTTGCAATTACAATACAAATGTGTAAGAATCTCTGTTAATATATTAATGTTTTAAAATATTTTTAAATGTATACAAGTTGTATGATATCTTAAAGGTTTATAACTGAAAGAGAACACCATATTTTTAATCTGAAATAAATTTACCTTTTTATTTACAAATTCTTAAATTGGAACTGAAAATAATGTAACATTGTTAGAAAAAATACAAATTTAATGAATGAAAATAAAACTTTAAATAATATCACCACTAAGTATGAAGCAAGATTTTGTATACATTATGCATAAAAATATTCATTTGGGCCCGTGAAGAAGTTTATTGTATCTTAAGCATACACCAGCAGAGATAATTGTCTTAAATCTATATTTTACAAATTGGTTAACAAAATAGTGTGGCAGATGTTTACTACCACATTGTTTTGGATTATCTGCATGTGAACAAAAAGATTCACTTACAGAATATGGTAACTTCAAAATGTAGTGTATGTACTTGTGTAACATAAGACTGCTATATGAACTGGTGACCTGTGCAATTGCAGTTGTAACATTAATAAGACCACAGTCATTACTGCATTAACATTAATCCATTTATTAGAATCAACATAATGAAGTGAATTATAGCTATCCCTGTTTATAAGGTGTAATAACAACTTTTGATATTTTATTTCAGGCACTGCTTAGCATATTAAAGCCAATTATCAAAAATTGCACATTTCAAGAAAGTACAAATATTTGAATTTTTGTTTGAAGTTAATACAAATAATGTTGATGATAAGTAACAAGAAAATTTAACTCAACCCAATACGTACATGTGGACTTTTGCAATTGGAATATTGATTTCTTGATCATATGCTACATCAGTTTAAAATGCACAAGAGCCAGGGGGCTATACAGTAGTCAAATCATAATTTTATTAGCTTAAAACCATATAAAACATAAGAAAATATTAAAAAGTAGAGATATTTTTATAATATTAATCTGGTCACTGAAAATAACACACCATTCAAGAGTTAAGATAAAAGTATTGTTTCTTAGTTGATGCCAAATGTAAGCTAAAGTAAAATTAGTAATTAGTTGGAATTGCTGGTAATAGATAATGGTTCACCACTAGGATGTAATTTTGCTTGGTATGTATAGTAAAGAGTTAGTTTTATAGTGCAAAGCTATATAATAGGCTACTTGTACTCTGCCCATTGTGGGTAATCAAACCTCATATTTTAAAATTGTAAATATATAAACTTACCACTGACATGACCATAACAAAGAGTGGTTGATGCTTGTGCTTTTATGTAAAAAATATAAAATTTGCTCTTCTGAAAATGTAAATTTGGTAATGTAATAACTTAGTCTTTAAAGTTTGCTAATACTATAGAAAAATGTTTTATTTTAATAAAAACTTTCTATTACCTTTAATAGTCAAAACATTTACTATAATTTCTTTTTTAATTGTAGGAATAAAAATATTTAATACAACTAAATATGTATTAAAGTGATAGGAAAAATCCAGAAAAAAACCTTTTCCATCACTCACATTTGAACTACCAGTCAGAATATGTTGTCGACCTTTTCAAAACTTCTATTTTAATTGACAAATACAACTTACTATTGTTGCTATTGGAAATGATAATGTGAAACTACAGATTTGATTAAGTTGGTGTGTTTCTAATTTGGATCAAGTAGGACTGTTTGTGAATTTTTTAAAACTTTACTGTATTTTCATAAAGATTTTGAAATACTCTTATGATGTAATAGTGTTTGTACTCACATAAACTACACTTTTCCTATTTATTGTAAGTAATAAAAGTAAACAATTTAAAGATTATCAAGTTAAGTAATTTCATATTCAAATGACATTTTATTTCAATTTTAACACTTTTTTGAACACTAAGTATATGGATGTATTCATTTCTTTGATAAATGAATTAAGTTAAATCTTATAAGAAAACTTAAAACTTTGTTTCTATGCTTAATTTTTCTTGATTCCAATTACTTGACTGTGTTGATACATTTGTACACAGTGTTACACAAACAAGTATCTATACATATATATATATAATCAATATCCGTAAAAAAAAGACAATTTGGTGAAAGTCTGAAACATAATGATATCAGGTCATTGTGGTTGTATTGAATTTAACTGCAATACACCTGAACAATTTTTTAGGCTATTGTTTCGTATTGTAGTTTGTGTTCTTTGTTCCAGAATTGGTTATAATAAAATATTTTGTATATTACTTTGGAAAAACTCACAAGAGTTAATGTATATAAGGCTACAAGCTTCAAGATTTAGAAGTTTAAAAAGAATGGAATTACCAAGAGATACAAAAAATTGTAAATTTCTGCTTTCTCATTAAGAGTAGAGTGGAGCATTGCTATGAACTAACTGACTATGTAAAAAAAAAAAATTATATAACAAAAGTACGTACACTGCAATATTGTAATTATTTGTATATGGTAATAATTTTGAGTGGTGTATGTTAAGATACCACCTTGCTCATGGTTATATTTGTATAGTAGCTAGATACACATAGTTATATGTCAAACTAAAAATACCTTGTACAGAAAATGTGGGTTAAGAATTAACATATCTGTAGTAATTTGCAAACTATCAAAAAATTAATAGGCTGGATAGCTAAAAATTAGCATGTTGTAATTCCAAGAATGAGATAAATCACAATGAAAATTGCCAGACATTGCATTTCAGTCCATAAAATGCAAGTATATAGTAATGGTGTTACAAAGTGAAACAAATTTGCTGCTTTACTATATGTGATTTTTAATGTTTTTTTTTTGTATTGTGAAATATTTTATAGCATTGCATGAATACTTTTTTGTGATCGATGTGTAATCATTTCATGAATTTTTGTAATGAGTAGAGCACTTAGTTAAAAAGAAAGAGGCCTCTATAAACATGTGAAAAAAATGTCACTTAACCCTGCGTTAGTCTTCTTTAAAAAATTTTTTCCATAGTCACTCTTCCAGGGTCTGACTTGACTCCATCAATAAAAAAAAATAATTTACAAATATTTAAAATAACAATAATAAAAAAACTTATTTTGGAAACAAAAAAAACTAACACAAAATATTTTCATTTATTAATCAATAAATGAATATTGAATGTTACAACTTGTTGCTTTTTTTACCACCTAAACTAAGTGTAACAATTTAACACACTAATGCTACTGAGAACAACAAACATGTACATGCTTCTATCTGTCGGTGCCAATGTTTACAAAATAATTGGGGTCTGTGAAGACCCTGGAAGACTAATGCAGTGTTAAAAACTTTTGTGATAGAATAGCTTGTTCATTCCATAAAAGATATCCTTAACATACAGATATATAGAACTGGGAGGATTGTTATTTTATTCATGATATGTTTTGATTGTACTCATCTGTTGTTCACACTGAGATGTAGTTTGTAGTTGTATTGATTAGATAGTTATGATATACAGTCAACTTTTAAAGTTTATAAATATTAATTTTGGGTAATAGTTCTGTTAAGTCATTACAAAGTAAATTACAATATTATGAAAATATACCTTTCAACACTGCAAGTAATAAAGGAACTATATCTTGCATTGATTTTCAAATTTGATTTCATTATGATATGTACTTGATCAAACTGATCTAGTGTATCAAATAATAGCTTCCAAGTACATAGTTATCTTGATTTGTATAAAAAAAAAAACATTAATATATGGGCTCTAGAACATTGTCATGTCAAATAAATAAAATACTTTAAAATAAACTGTGAGGATATCTTAGGAATGTTTTGTTATGGACTACTTGATAGTTTTCATGAAAACACTGTTTCTGTGGCTGACTTTAAATACTAGAAGAAGGCATTGGAATGATGACCAAGTGTCTTTATGGAGATTTATTGGGTAGTTACATACATGAACAGTGCTTCTGAGAAAAATAATGTTTTTTAAGAAAAGCACTTCCAAAGTACATGTGTAAACATTTTTTGGGTATAACAAAAATAGCTAAAACCCACAATTTATGACACAGATCAAAACTGAAATAACTGATTTAACAATGATGTAATGGAAACAAATGATTTGATGATAAAGTTTTTATTTTAAAATTATTTTTTTTGTAAGAAGTCTAAAAAAAAAACAAACATACTTGCCATTTTTTATGTTGTTGTGTCCTGCAAAACTTGTTTCCAGTTTCACCAAAGACTTGTAATTTTTTTTATTGTTTTTATGTTAGCATATCTGTATAGATTGACAAGGGATTAAAAAGTTTTGAGATCATAATAAGTTTGAATTTCAAAATAAAAAAAAATCATTCATTTTGTTCTGGTACGTGTTCTGATGCAATGAATGTATTAAAGACATTTAAGTATATAATCAATATTTAATTTTACACTACAATGTATAGGTGATTAATGAGCAAAATGGTAATTATGAAAAAACATTGGGCTGATAAAAGTCAAATAGGTTTTATTAAATAATCATTGTAGCTCTAGATCAATTATGAAGATAAAATAATTACTCTGGACAAACAGGTGTAATGTTACATAAAAGCAATAAACATTTATAGGTTCTTTAACTAGATTATTCCATTTGTAACAAAATTCTCAAATACTTTAAGGGAAATATTTATTGAAACACAAAAAGCAATACAAATACAGGAGAAACAAACAAATCATGATGAAACTTAGATGGTAAATTTATTAATGGCAAAAAACATCATCACAAAAAATACATAAAAAACAAGTTATAGTATTTTGTATGTAAAGCTTGTATTACTCCCCAAAACCCAGCCACATTGTTTGGTTTCCTTTTGACCTTATTAGTTTTCATTGAGCTCATAGATGGTCAAAAATGTTTTGTTACTTTGTGCAGGCCAAGTCATGGTTGTGATATGTTCCATCAGCCTCTTTCACATGAAGATGTTTCCCCACATTTTCTGGATACTTGGAATCATTATATTGCTGAAAGATAATTCCCAGCCTAATGAATGGTATTCATGAGGGAATGATGTGATGGATCATAATCTCATTATACTAACTGTCAGCAGTCATGATGTCATCAGTTTTGTGTAGATCACCTACAAAAGTATTTCTCAGTCCAAGTGTCTCTTGTGAGAATGTGTGAATGGATCATGAACAGAAGTTTGCAAATAGATAAGCTGATATATTTTGCACCAAGACTATTTACTGGGTTGCAACTAGCCACTAGTACTTATAAATGGGTTAATAACATCTGACCTGCACTATTTGCTAATATGCAGCCCCAACATTGTAACAATCCTCCATCATGTTTCACTGTACATTTTATACACAAACTATAATACTGTTCTCCTCTTCACTGTCAAACAAACTGTTGCCAAACAATTCAAACTTGGATTCATGTGTAAAGAGGACACATCTCCAGTTTTGCTTATTCTTCTCTTTTATGGTCTGATGCTCATTTCAACTTTTTGGTTTGGTTATTTCTTCTCAGAAGCAGTCTTCAAGCAGTTACACATCCATTGAGACCACTTCATGCCAATGTGTATATTACTGTTTTCAAGGTTATTAGAAAGATTTGTATTTGATTGTTGTTTGTCTTGTAAAATACGTACAATGAAATACTTAATATTACTTTCAGACCCGTCATAGGTCAGGTGTCCGCTCTACTAAGTGAGCTAAAGTGTCAGCTCCATGAACAGATAAGGTGTTTCTGGTCTCTGTTGACACAATTAGAAAAAATGCCTTAAGAGAAATATCTAGGTGTCACTGTTTTTTTCTAGGTCTACATACAGTGACTGAAGTAGTACAAAGAAGAAATGTGGCTTAAGAAAACAGAGCTGCAATCAGGTGGTTGGACAAAAGTACAACAAGGACAATAGTAATGTAGCAGTAACTGATGAAAGGCAGTTGATTAAAGCAACTGCAAATTGAAAAAACACAGGAAAAAAAATGTCTCAACAGAGATAGTGCTGAGGAAAGAATGAGCCTATGATAATGTGCTAGTGTTCATAGGGATTATTATGTAGAGAGGTTGTGTCACCCTCTTATTGGTGGAGGGCTACAGCATTAGGATGATTACATCATAGAGTGCCACAATAGTTGTCAACACATGTGGCATGTGCACGTTAGTGGTGCAGGGAAGTAAATAATGTTTCTGAAGAATAGTTTGTCACAGATCGTGTTAATACTGACTTCACCATTTTACATTATATCAATACTTGATTTGTCATTGTTTTATTTTAAGCATTTGTTCTTTACACAATTTACATTTACATTTTATAAATTGTTTAATACTTCATAGTGTCTGCCTATAGCTTTTCCAATTTATAAAATACACAAAGGTATGCATTTTGAAAATTAATTTAGTTAAATATACAGGTGAAGATTTATCTTTCTACAGTTCAATCTAAATATTTTAAATAAACAGTAATATAGCATTTCAAAAATTAGAAAGAAATTGTGTTTACAGTTTTTCATTAGAATTAGTTTCTGTAGGTAATTACTACCAATAGAATAAAACTGGTTTATATAAATGAATGAACTGCAAACATCTCGTGAGGTTCTAGAAATTACTTGGTAATAACAGCTTAACCTTTTCAGCTTTTTTGCTAAGAAAGAGTGAAAGTGTTTTTCATAACCCAGGAAAAAGTAAAGTAATAATAAGATGTAATCTTGGCTGAATCAAGGTTAATATAAGTTTTATTTAGTTATCCTTCAATCTACAAAGGTTGGCTACATGTACACAAAAATCTTAAACTAGTAATTCAGCTGGCTTTAGTTTCAATATATTGCAAGAAGTCAATTTATTTACTAAACACTATCTTCCAGAAACTAAATATTTACAGGTAATTTTTCTGTACTAGGGTAAGTCGTCTTCTATTTCATGATACTAATATCTTCACCATACAATCAACCTGCAAAAATATGGCAACTATGAATCATCTACACGACTTTTTTTTACAGCTAAAAACTGGTCTTAATACAACTCTCATCATAATAGTTCAGATGTATACAAGAAAAATAACTATTTGTTAAAATTATATTGTAATTTTTATTATTAATAACCTACAAACAAAAAATACTCTATCTGAAAAAATTAGTTTGTTTTGATATTGCGCAAAGATTACCTCCATATTTTTTAGCTCCCTCTAGTGGTATACATATCTTTATCTTCAGGATTACTCATTCCTGGATCACCTTGCACATTTTTATCCTTTGTGTTTGTCACCTCATTTGACTGTTTCTCTTCACCCTAAGAGGATTAAAAATAGTAATGAGAACATAATTGATTAATTAATTAATACATATAGTAAATGAAATAGCTTATATTTCAAACTATAAAAAAACAATTTTTATCTTCTTGTATGTTTGATGAAGTTTGTTGACGTAGTTAAACCTAAATGGCAATGTAACTTTCAATGATAGGAGCTCACATTTAAAAAATACAGCAAAAACTTCTTTATTAATAACATTTCATGTACATGTGCTATATTTGTCTAGAGACTTTCAGCCAGCAACCTGTCCACCTGTCTTTTGGATGGGCAAAATTATTAAATTAATTTCAGTACAACCAAATTACGTTTACCTACAACACAGAAAACATCTTTGTCTTTTCAATGTAATAAAGTATTTATTTTATTGTTTACAAGCATCAGTACTTTAACTGTAAGTGCTTCAGCATTCTTGGTATCAAACTGTATTCTGACCACAATTGAGTCAAATAGTAATTTCAAAGTCAAATTTAAATTGGATTTAATTTCTGAAACAATTACAAATTATAATTTACAAATGAGAATGTGGACTTTGAATCAGAGAAATAAATAATATCTTATGATTTTTTTTTCTTCTCACAGTGGCAGTACTTAAACAAAGTTACAAATAGTATGGAGTTTTGGCTTAAACAATCCATATAATTAGATTCAGTATTTGCATCAGTTTTCTACATTGTGAAATTTCAAAAATTTGAGAGACTGTTTTGGAAAAACATTAAAATACTTATTTAAAATTGAAGTTGTTTTTTAAATTGTTGATTATAGAGTTCTAATATCAACTAAACTGATGTTTATTTTTCTTGATACTTTATTTTGCCAATTAACATAGTCACTGCTTCTGGCTATCAATCATAAAAACATGGCAAAAACTAACCAAGATTTGTTGGGGATCCTAAACCTCACCTTTTAAAATGGCAACATTATTGCATTAGTAATGCTAAGAAACTATTTTTGCTAACAATACTCTTTTTTAGTTTAATCTATTTATGTATATGTTTTAATATGATAAACTTAAAAATAATATACAATAAATAAGGATTTGCATTATCAGAATATTTTGTCATCATGTTCCACTCACTAAACATTATAAGTTTCATATATATATTGCACAATATATGCATGTAATTATCCTACGTGTCTTTTTTTCTTATTTAAGGGGTAATGACTTGAAAGAGTTAATGCTCTGTTGTACATTGTCACATACAAGTAACAAATCTTTGTTGCTTTATGCACATACAAATTCTTCAGTTTTGTAGTTGAATGCTCTTACTTTCAAGTAACAGTCTAAATAAACCTTGGAATTATTATTTTTGGTCCTTCAATTGAACAGTGTTATATAACTTACCAAAATATATTTCATAAAAACATTTCTTTTGTGTGCAATGTAGAACTATTTAAGTAAGAAATTCAAAGAAAAAATTTTTCTCTATGATATTGTCAAAGTGCACATGTGCTGAAAGGAGGTTAATAACTAATTAAAATGCATAATTATTTTATGAACAATATGTAAATATTTAAACTTTTTCAGATGCTAGAAGGTTTACAAAAAATAATTAAGATCTACACTGACATTACAGACAAGCATACATTTCACTCCCAGCTTACTGTATCATCAAAACTACCTTACACGTACTTTTTAGTAATGTACCCACAAGACTTAAAGTATGTTAATATTTTCTTACATTATAGATATACATATATACACACACATACTTTATTGATTTTATAAGAAACATAATAACCTGTTTAAACTCACAGGTATAAGTGTGTTAATGATTTAAATGCAGTATCAGTTAATGCTCCAGTATGTTCTAAGGTGCATATTTTATAATCTTAAATCAATGTAGTTTGTATATTAAAAATCTTAATAATAATATATCATTAAAACATAAAATTTATTTATTTCAATAACTTACAACTGTAACTGATGATTATACTTCCATTAAATTAGGTTAATCTTTTGAAGGAGCCATTTTTTGAGTTGTAGTTGATTTACTCATCTTTAATACCAACACTACTTTTGGATTATCAACACAGTACACTTCACTGAATTTTGAGGTATCATGTATCTCCTAATTTATGCAGTTCTTTGAGTAAACCTTCTATGGTAGTTGGTTAATTTACATATATATGTAGTAAGTTAACAAAAAAGAAATACTTATGTTAAACCATTTTAAAAATTGCTACTGAATCATAAAATAGTTGGTTAATTGATAAACTGTGCTTTTATTGCCTATTGGAGGCAAACTAAGCATATAAAGAACACATGAAACATCATCTACTGAATCAAGCTGAGCAAATTTAAAACACTGCTTATTGGATGTAAGATGAGAATATTAGAAACAAATAAAATTTAGTTGTACATATAGGCTTACAATATGTTTCCTACACCCTTAGTTAATGTACATATTTTTTCACAATTTCTTTCTACTTTGAGTCAAAGAAGCCACTAAGTTCCTCTATTTCTAGATACTCGCAAAACTGAGTTAGTCACCAAGAGCATCACATGTGCTCCCCATTAGATTTTTGTTTAGTTTGCTGTTTTTGAATTTCATGCAAAGCTACACGAGGGCTATCTGCACTAGCCGTCCCTAATTTAGCAGTGTAAGACTAGAAGGAAGGCAGCCAGTCACCACCACCCACGCCAACTCTTGGGCTAATCTTTTACCAATGAACAGTGGGATTGACCATCACATTATAATGCCCCCACAGCTGAAAGGGCGAGCATGTTTGGTGGGACGGGGATTCAAACTTAGGACCATCAGATTGCGAGTCAAGCACCCTAACCACTTTGAGACATGCTATAAATAATGATAGAAATTATTTCTACTGGTAATTCAGGTGATACTCCAATAATACAGCTTGTTGATAGCTAGGATGGTTTTCAGTTATGTGGGTGGCACCTACTCCCTGAGAAAATCTGCCATTATTGTTCTTTTTATATAATGCCATGTTCTCTTGGTCTGGCAGATATATATATATATGACTTGATACTTAGATGAGATAGCTGCAAGGCCAAAAGATTCAGAAGCTAAGCTAAAATCAAATAGAACATCACACACACATTCCAGTAAATGTGCTAAGATAAACTTGCACTTTAAGAGCCTTGATTGTGTTTGTGAAGCATTTGAATAAAGACTGTGTCATTGTGCTTAAGCTTGTGTACAAGTCTCCTTTTTTGCTTCAGACTCGGGTGAGGTTGATAAAAATCAGATTTTGTTTTGCAATACATTGTCTGGCAAAACTCCTATTATTCTGTAGCTCCTACCTGAATACTCAAGGGGAAATCAAGAAAACTAACAATGCCACACAGTCCACCTAATCAATTCTACCTCGTTTCAAGGGATTAACATCTTTAAGGTCCCAGGAAGGAAAGTTTAAAATAAAATAGTTTATAATTTTAATATGTTATTAAATTTTCCATGTGTTGGTAGTAGCATATTAATGTGCATTATAATTTTAAATCTACATTGTGTTATGCTTATAGTTTTCCATACATATTTGAATTTTTTTTTACAAACTAATGCCAACTCTTACCAATAAAACTGCATTTTATTACTTGACAAATGATTTTTTTTTTTCCCACGATGGTTCTGGTATCTGGTGAAAAATAGCCATGTTTGTTATTGTGACAATTTTCAAGCAACTAATTTATAACATTTTTTGACTTTCATGTCAACATCCAAGTATGATAGCTCCTAAACAGTTTTACTTACGTAACTGCATAAAAATTTTGATTATTGATGAAGTTAGTTTAATATTTACTCACTGAATGGATGTGACAGAGATGTGAAAAAGTGTGGTAAATTTATTGACCTTATGTTGATAAAAGCTGTTGACAGTATGATACAAGTTACGCTTGACTTTCTTTAAAAACCGTATTATTTTCAATCCATCTATCAAAAGCTACGGAACTAATAAAATATTAAAGAAAGTTCAAAGAGGTTTCTGTTGTCTTACTCACGAAACCTCAAGCAGAACCAGATGTAGATAGTCAGTGTTTAGCTCATAAACAATGATACTGACAGTTTGAGTGATGTGCCTTTCAACACTTTTCATCTCCACAACCTCCTCGGCAGAATGGATGAATAAAATGGTAGTCTCATCACTCTGGATAACATGGCCTTCAACTCCTAACCTGTTTTTAACAACCATTAACTGCAAGTATTAGCAGAGCATTTGTGGGACAAACTCACAATGCAATGCTCTTGTCAAGCTGCAGGACTGAAATGTACAGAAATGTCCACTTGTAATGACTTGCATCAACAATGACACTATTGATAATACAGACAAGGAGTGTTTCTTATCATGATGAATTGAAACGACACAAGTATTATATAACTTGAATTCACTTTCTTAATTTGTGTTGGATTTTCTTTCTTCCTAATTCATCTTATAAAATGATTGTTTTCTCTTTAATCATTCCTGTAACCTTACTTTCTTAAATTATAGTTTCTCAGAAAAATGCTTGCATATAAAACTACTAACTGTAACAACTGTGTAGGATATATGAAATTAAATAAGCTGGAAATTGTCATTGTTCCTGTTGTTAAATATCCATTACTGTTGAATTGTAAGGGAAATAATTGTGAAATAACCAAATAAGTATTTAGTTTTTTAAAAGCACTTTTATGGTTACTAATGTGGAAAATCAATAAATTTGACTCTTTTAATTATATTCTTATTAGGCTCATGCATAATTAGAAAGCAGACATGCAGCATTTATTTCATGTTTTATAAATTACAATAAAAACGTTGATTTGCATACAGATTTACAGATATTTAATGAGTTATGTTCAAGGTATAGAATCACACTACCAAAATACCAAGAAGTATTAATGAAATAATTTTATAGACCTCCCCCAGCTTAGGTCTAATACTGCCTACTGGATATCAGCCAAGCAAATTAAATGACATAGCAAGCTGACCTCAAATAGTCTTGCACATAAAATGTTCTAGTTATCCAGTTAAGGTATATCAG